ATAAACTATTGAATTTGTTGCCATGATCTCTCAGATAGGTTTTCAGAAAGCAATAAGCAGAAGGTTAGGTTTTCATTCCTCTTATCCAAATTATTACCAGAGTTGGTTTGAGCACATTTGAAGCCCGTAGTACTGAACAATAGTGAAGGATTAGAACACAGTGTGTAATCTTTTGTAGTCATTGATACAAATGTCAGACAGCAATTTAAGGGTTCAACAGCCTGTTCTTCACCACATACCACAAGACTGAGTGGGTGGAATGGGTGTAGTTAGTTTGATTATGTACTGTACTGCCTGCTTTGTTTAGAGCTAAATCAACTTCCCACAGGGATTAGTTGACTGAGATAAATGTTCCTTTATGCTCTTCCCATGTCACACTAACCCTCTCCCCAACCCAATTTGGTATATTATAACACAGGGTCATAGGACTGCATGCTCTTTTCATTTAGCTCTCACTGTATCAAGAAAACTCCATCTGGGATGTGGCAACTAACATGTCAACAGGAAAACCTGATCACTTCAACTTGACATCTGTTATTGAACAATGAACAATCATTGACTGCACAATCTAAAAAGCAAGAGCTCTTGCAAAGATTTGTGTTGCTCACCAGCACAGTGCATAGATTGCAGGAAATAGTTCTTAGTTCAGCTATAGAATCTCTTCAGAAAAGCCTTTATCTAAGTGCTGGACAGTACTAGCCAGTATAAATAACATTAAAATAGACAGAGTAAAGCAACCCCTATTTAATCAAACAACAGCTACAGGTTTAGCAGAAAACTCAAAAATTCATTCCTGAGGAAAATATTTCCTGTTTTTTATAATGGAGCCCATAGGTATGTTTGATAGGCTTTGAGCCATTGCTTCTATCTCAGGAAGTGTACTATTTTTAAATTGAGAAGATAAACAGTCAATACACATGAACTGGCACATGAGTCATAAGATTGGGGGAGAGAGAGGCAGAGTGGGAGGGAGAGAAAATGGAAAGGAGGAGGAGACCATTTGCTGACAAAAATGTTCAGATTCTTTTCCATGAATACAAATAGAACCAAAACAGCAGCATTTTATTTTTCTGCATTTTCCTTCAAAATAGAAGGAACTTTTAAACCTGTGCTTCATCTTAGAATACAGTCTTTCTAGACAAAGGTGAGGTCAAAAGGTCTGCGCTAAAGTCCCAGCAATATGTGTATACAGTGTGTATATTTGCCCATCAAACGGTCACATTACATTGCTTACTTAGAAGATAATTCAGATACAGCTTAGTCAAATTCAGCATAGTCTTTCTCATGAGTTTTCTAAAGATGGAACTGAAGAGCCATATGTACATCTTTCCACCCACTGAGCCATTTGTTTAACAGTGACCGTCTACCACTAAAACTATTTCAGAAAGGGAAATAAGACACAGTAAGGACAACAGTAAAGAAGAAAAACACGTTCTGAATGCAATCAGATATTTAGTGGCATTAGAACAGATTTGGTCTTTTGGTGTTTTATAAAAAAATAAATGTATGAATTTATGTTTTCAAAATTTTAGTTATCTTTCAATAGTCAGACTTTTTTCAAAAAATTGAAATTTCATTGTTCAATTTAAGTATGTTTTTAAATGTTTGTATTTTAGGAGCACAAAAATATTATTCATTTTAAAAAGAGAACATACAAATGTGTCATATTATGGGGAATTACTTGGAAGAAATGCATCCATTATTCAAATTATGTTTTAAAACAGTGTCAGGAAAAATCCACACAAAAATGAAGAAATTTAAGAAAAGTGCAAGTTGAGGTGGAATGGGACAAATTAATTTTAAACATAGAAAAATGAAACTGAGTGCAACCAAAACTGACACTTTTGTACATTCCTAATTCAGATATCCCTAACCTGTTTTCAGATTCATCAGAAAATGGAATTAGAATGAACAGCAAGTGAACATTTATTTATACAGCATCTATTATGTTCTTTGTCTAAGAAACCAATCCTGAAATATAGAGATGGAGACTTTTAGAAACAGACAACTCCTGGCTGTCCATAAGTCTTCTTTCTAATGCTCTCATAACACAAATCTGCCTATTTTCTCCATCGAACTGTCAGACTTATTTTTTTAACAAAAACTGAACACATGGAAATTGAACAAAACTATCAGCAGTAAATGGATATGCATCTTATTTTACTATTCCTACATTAGACATGATCTATCATATAAAAGGCAATGGTAAATGTTATTCACCCGTATAGTTTACTTTGAGAAGAGACAGGTTGATTTAATGCTACATCAAATAATGTGGGATTTTGTGCTTCCACTGAATTTATGTAGATAGCTTCATAGTGTTCTGAGCTAATGACAAAATATGAATCAAGGAAAGAAAACAAATGCAGTTCCCAAACTGATGTAATGAAAGCTGGACAGTTAAAGAGAAAACATACATATCGTATTAGTAGGACTGTGTAAAACATTTCAAGACATCCTCTTATAGCAGAAGACATGTCCTGGCTTTCTCAGTTCCATGCATAGACAATATTTGGGCAAAAGCTTGAAATGAAGCAAATTATGCATGTACCCATATGTGAAAACAACTAGGAAAACCCATGTACAACCATGCTGCTATTCCAGAAATTACAGCTACCTCATTGTTTTGAGGAGGGGTACTTTGCTTGCACTAATATCTTTTTTGAAGCCACCCTTTGAATGCATGTACAGTCTATGCATAGGCCATTCAAATAAGTTGTAGAGCATACTATTCATCCATCCAGAATATTTGCTTTTTTCAAGACGAATTGCCCTCAAACTATTTCTCACATTATGTCAAAATCTGCACTGTGCTGATAGATGCTATTGAACCCATGTGATGGGGGAGATTAAGATTAAGATTCCTTACTAAGGCATTATAAAGTGGTACTAATATGTCATGTGATTTTAATTCCATGCCCCTGTTTATGCAACCCAGGATGGTGTTAGCTTTAATACATTGTGTTACCAATACCTTTAACTTCATAAGGGCAATCGTATAATGATAATCAGTGTCATATAAAGGGGTTCAAGGACTGTCCATCATTCCCTGAAAAGCCCACTCCCAATACATCAGGTTGGCAGCTTTGAATGGCCCTTAAATTAAAATAAAATTAACTTAATTGTATTTTGACTTTGTCTTTTAGTTAGTCTTGGCTGCTAGCAACTGCATAAACAAAGCAACATTTTCAGAAACCCATTCTTTGTTGTGAGTAAATGACTGGCCCAAAATCTCCTATTTGACTCCTGTGCCCAAACAGGACTAGAACTTTGCCTGTTCCAAATCCAGTGCTTAATTCCTAATCAAAATGGCTCTTATTTTTGTGAATTCCAATATGTAAAGAGTAATAATATAATCCTAACTACGATGTAAGTTAAATTCTATAAAATTGCTCCATTATATTTAAAAGTGGCAGTAAATATTTATTTCTTATTAAACCTTAAAATTAAAATAGAAACTATTTAAACATTGGTAAAATAGAAACTATTTAAACATTGCAACCAAAAGGTTTCTAACCTTCAAATACATTTTTAAGTTCATTATAAAGTACTATAAATGTCTTCCAAAGAAACAAATATTATGGCTTGTTCATGACCTGTGCAAATTAGCCAAATTTGAACTTGTTGTACATGGCTCATGAAATCTCTTCTCCCATCTCTATTTTTAACACTGCCATCAGTGATTATAAGCATTTAAAGGCTGATTAGTTTTGCTGAACAGTTAAAACAAAATGCAAAGCATTAAGAAATATAAGCTGTTCTTCTTATAGAAAAAGGCTTGCAAGAAGTAGTAATCTTAATTGACATTTTAGGTAAGATTTTGAGGAGAGCATTTCTATACCCTAACGTTTAAACAGTAGTATAAAATAAATCTATAGGACCACTATTAGTTTGAAAATGTGACCATAGTTTTAATAGAGTAAGGCTTACTTATACGTACATCAACCAATTTTGTTCCCATTTACTATGCTTAACATAATGCAAAAGTCTGTCATATAGTATATTGATTAGCTGCAAGGAAATGAACCTATATGTAGGACACAACTTGAGATGATATGTATGTATATGTACACACACACCTTTCATTAATAATGAATGAGGACATAGTTTATATTTAGCCCTGTACTGATCTTTTAACTTATATCTTTAACCTACAAGTGTCTTAATTACTAAGGAATTGCTACAAAATACTGCAAATTATTAGGACTATGGATTATTGATTATGGATTATCCATGCGCTTTCACAGCAATTTCATTGATTACATGAATAAACTTGCATATTACCAACAAAATTTCTAAGTGGACAGATGAAAAATATCTTAAAGACTGGAGCCTAGATAAACCCATTAAATACAATGAAACTTAAATATAATAAAAAGTATCATTCACTGTTGTTTCTTTTAATTCTAACAGCAGCAAACTAAATGAAAATATTATGCCTTTTCCCTTACTGCTTTTTGATCATTGCAAAAGAGTATGTAAAATATACATGAAAATCAGTCACTTCCCATTAACAAACTCTATATGGCCCATGAAAACAATATGGCTAACTTCAAGTAATAAATCAGGACAGAGCCCTTTAGCCACATATCAGATAAATATCTACAATATTGTTGGTGTAAATAATTAAGTCATCACCAAAGGACTTTCAGCAGTTATAAATTCATTCCATCAATCTAATTAGCAATGGATCAATATAAAATCTTAACAAATATCTAAAAGCCTACTCGATTCAGGCTGTGAAAATTGAGAGTTAAGGAACTTTTATCAGAATAAAATTCAAAAAGAGTAAGTTTTGAAAGTTAAAGTTTCCTTTAGGTCATTCTCAAGACCTTGCACTTCTCTTAAAAACAGCATGGATGTCATTTGCTATTCTCTTTTTCCCAATTTAGCCACACCTTAACTCTTGAGCCAAGACAAAATCAGGCTATTGACTCCCAGATTAACAAAGCCCACCAACAAGAAAATAACTTGAACAAAGTGCATACTCAAACAGTTACCTGTACATTTCTTTATGTTGCTATTCCTCTTTCCATGAGAACCCAGCTTGCATCCAAAATTTTCTTCCCAAAATTCTGCGAACCACACATTCCTTCTGTTATTTGCTAGGGTTCGACTTCTAAAATATCTATCAAAACCTGAATTGAAAATACAGATATACATACATGAAGATCAGAACAGTATGCTGAATGTGATAAGGTCTTTGGCCTTATATGATATGGTTTTTTCTGTTTATAAATTTCCCTACTAGTGATTTGTAACTTATAGCATTTGTAACTTATAGCATTACCCACTCAACACTAGAGCAATTTAAACCCTATGCTTATTACTATTACATTAATACAATGCAGAGTTTGGGCAGCACCCTAAAAAAATAATGCTTCCAATTGCTTGAATAGATTTCTGAAAAAAAGTATCCTTGCTCAGTTATAAAGTAGCTTACTTCCACTCATGAAATATCATGTTCCAGATATAAACTGAGACCAACTGGGAGAATTCTTTTAAAAGCCTACCATGTATTTGGTTTCCTATGTGTATATTTATGAAATGACTGAACATCACCAAAACTGTAATAAATTAATTCAGCAATTCAGAGATTAAGGTATTTTAATGAGTTTCTTGTCTCAATATTTTTGCAAATGGCAGTCTTCATACTCCTCCATTTCACCTTCATCTTGCTTTGCTATTACCTCAAATTACATCTAAGAAGTCTTAGAAATCACACCTCTGCTTTAGAAAAGAATATGATTGCTCATTCCTTTATGAAGCTGAAATTCTGAAAAATAGTTATCTCAAGTATATAGACAAGTTACAGTTTTCATGTTACACAGTATTATCAACTCTGAGTTGTTGTTGTTAGTTGCAAAGTCATGTCCGACCCATCACGACCCCATGGACAACATTCCTCCAGGTCTTCCTGTTCTCTACCATCTTCTGGAGTCCATTTAAGCTCACACCTACTGCTTCAGTGACTCCATCCAGCCACCTCATTCTCTGTCGTCCCCTTCTTCTATTGCGCTCAATCTTTCCCAGCATTAGGCTCTTCTCCAGTGAGTCCTTCCTTCTCATGGAAGGTGGCCAAAGTATTTGAGTTTCAACTTCAGGATCTGGCCTTCTAAAGAGCAGTCAGGGTTGATCTCTTCTAGGACTGACCGGTTTGAATGCCTTGCAGGAGTCTTCTTCAGCACCATAGTTCAAAGGCCTCAATTCTTTGGCGCTCAGCCTTTCTTATGGTCCAAATTTCACAGCCATACATTGCAACTGGGAAACCAGGACCTTGACTATGCGCACTTTTGTTGGCAGGGTGATGTCTCTGCTTTTTAGTATGCTGTCTAGATTTGCCATAGCTTTCCTCCCCAGGAACAAGCATCTTTTAATTTCTTGGCTGCAGTCCCCACCTGCGGTGATCTTGGAGCCCAGGAAAATAAAATCTGTCACTACCTCCATTTCTTCTCTGTCTATTTGCCAGGAATTGAGAGGGCTGGATCCCATGATTTTGGTTTTCTTAATGTTGAGATTCAAGGCAACTTTGCACTCTCCTTCTTCACATCAAATTACAAATCCTTCTTAAACAAACTGAATCTGGCACCTTTTATCTAAATTTATTATGTCATTTACCCATAATCCTATAACTCTCAGATCCAATCAGCTGTAAATGTGATTCTAAATATTGTTCCAGTGACTATTATATATTGGCAACAGAGAAAAAAACTGAACTGACAATGAGCAGGACATGTACCTTACTGATATAAAGACAGCTGACATTAATAAATGAAAATTATTATGTATTTAATTAGATGGTAGATTTTTTGCCAATCATGCTACTAATTTAGTATTTAGGAAATTAATTTAAACACTAACCAGAACCATTGAGCATAGAATTTATTTTCACTAACTAGATAATGTCAATAAACTGATATTTTAAATAAGTAAATGAAACTTTGAACACCTGACTTTGCTTCCAGATGTGGGTTTAATTTTTATCATTTGTTTTGTGTTTCTTGGATTATTTTAGTGGGCAATGTGTTTGATTCTAGGTTTCCAGCTGTTTTATGTTTTTTCTAGTTTCGTACGCCATCCAGAGTTGAGTGGCCAACAAATTTAAATAAATAAATAAGTTACAAATAGCAATGGCACAAAATGATGCTATTGTTGTACAAGAAAGCTTCTTCAGTATAAATAAATTGAACTGTTTACATAATACGTTCTACTCAGAATGGTCATAAATTGAATACACAATACAGGTAAACCTCATTTAATGTCCATTGGTTCAGCAACGAGTTCTTATAGTTACGACTGTCAGCGTATCCCTGCCGTCATATGATCACCATTTGCAACTTTTACTGCTGGCTTCCAACACACAAAGTTAATGCGGAAGCTGTCAGGAGGATGCAAATGGTAATCACATGATCACAGATCTCTATAACTGCATGGGAGTTGGCTAGTCATAGTCACAGTCATAAATCATGTGATACTGCACCTTACAACCTTGTCACTTAGCAGAGGAATTTCCAGTCCAAATTATTGTTGGTAAGCAAGGATTACCTATAAAGCTACTGCTTCACTGAGTGGCCTTGAAAACTGTTTTACTTTGCAATTATAGTATGGGAACCAAACAGTAATGCACCTAAAGAAGATAGAATGAAAATACCATTTAAACTTATTTGCTGTCATCGTCAGAAAAACATAAACTAGTTTCATGACTGTGTGATGTACCAGAATTATATAAATGTATGCCAGGTGCTCATCCCACTAAAGTCTCATCTATGCAGTCTTACCATCAATGGAAGCTCTTTTGGGCAAAATGGTGACAGCCCCTTCTGCAATTTCTTCTTGCTGATAAACAGGTGCAATTTTAGAACCCCAACTGTCTGAGCCTATCCAAAGAAAATGTCCAGTTTGATTCAATTTCTTAGCAGCCTCCAGAATTCTCCTGTAAACAATGATTTAAAAACAATTATTTTAAGTCAACTTTTAAAATGAGTTGTTTTTTATCAATTCATCAAACATTTTAAAGGACCATATTGGTTTTCTTTGTAAAAAAAAAGAGTATAGAACAAATTCTGTAATATTTATTTATTTACAACATTTATTTATTTACATTATCATATTTCTATGGTGTCACAATCAAAGCAACTCGCAGCAGCTTATTCAGAAAAAAATCCAATATAAAGCCTACATAATACGATACATAGAAGTATCGTGGCAATGAAGCAATAGAAATAAAAAGAATAAAGAAAGGCTGACTGTTTTTCTCTTGTTTCTGTCTGCCTCTTTTAGCTGTCTTTCCTATCAGTTCCAAACCAATACCTTCTCTTTCTGCTTTATTTGTTGTCAAGTACTGGAGGGTTATTATTAATGTTTGTGGAAGAAGAGAATATTAGAGAGAAGAGATCTTCCTTTCTTGCCTTTACTTTTTGTTACCTGAATTTTCTGGTTCATTTGTTTTCTTAAATTCAGGTAGCAGCACTTAGTGAACTTAGTTGGCTAAACTTTTGAAGCTAAGCAATCTCAGACCTGTTAGAACCTGGCTGAATGACTTCCAAGGAAATCCAGAGATATCAGCTAGATAGGATGTTGAAAGAATATCCCAGGAGCAAGTAAAATAGCAAAATTTTACTACTAGTTATTTTGACAAATACTACTATTTGTCAAAATAACTACATGGAGAAGGTTTGAAGTCTTTAGTTGAAGTCAAGCTTAACCCAAGACTTTTTGAGTAAATATTGGGTAACTATGAAAGACATAATTCTTTCATATGCACCTAAATTTGTCCCCTGACATACTGTTATTTAAAAAGATCAGAGGGGAGAAAAGAAGGGGGGAAGATGTGGACTTGTCATTTTGCTTGCTTTTGAATGCTTTCATTTCACTTGCACCTTCCATTGTCACTCATCTCTGCAGTCAAGGGAAGAGTATTAGGTGGATTCTATGAGAATGGCAAGAACCCAGAGTGCCAAAGAAAATTGAGCCAAGATTTTCTCCTTTCCCCCTAGGTATTTACCATGGTATTTACCATGTTAACTTCCCTATTTTTACTGGGTCCCAGTAAACCCCAGTGGGTTTTTTTCCCTCTGCATTTAAGGATTGCCAGAAAATTGGGATGAGCTACAAAACTGAAATCCACTCTGAATAACATGTATAAATAAAACCATGACTTTGAATGTTTCCTATTCTAGCCAAAAGGCCCATACCTTATATCATCTTCATTTGCAAACATAATTACAGCACGAGCATTTGGAGTCTCCACCAGGCGCTTGATAATCTTTTCAAATTCCCCTGGTCTTGGTTCACGGGGGATTTTTAATGACTGAGCAATACAGACACCACCTGGAGAACAGAGGATAATAAAAAGAAAGGGTGTAAAATATAGGGTTTTTTTTATAATCATTATGCCCAGTTCACAGTGAAAATAGAAATTTGGCTTTAGAGAGGACTACCAAATCAAAAACAGTTTAAAATGTAACTTTGCAACTGCAATACTAATGCATAATGTTTATTTTTTTTGTTAAATTCATTGCATATAATTTCTATTCTATCTAATGTAATTATTTATTGTACAGTGCTCAACAGCATGAATTCTTAAACAATATAGAAGGAATACATTTTATGGCAAAAGTATTTTGGTGGATACAATAAAGTGTGAAATCTGCATGCTTCTTCTATAGCCAGGCCTACTACAACGGTTAATCACCACATTATTAATTCAGTTGTTTTCATTATTCAACCATACTATTAAAGTTGTATACAGTCATCAATAAAAGCTGTACAGTATTTACAGCTGATATACCATAAGAACAATCAAATCCATCCAAGTTTTAAAAATTCCAGTCTTCTATGCAACCCCTTGATTCCCTGTTGTCCCAACCTCCCTTACCTTGATGATAGCATGGAATAGAGGACTAAGTTGGTTATTCCTGGAGCCTCAACCAGGATTACCCCAGTCACAAAATAATTTTAATCTGAGTTATAAAGGCAAATATTAGAGAAGATATGTATGTTTATGCTGGCTGCAGGACCCATAAATAGTATAGTGGTAACACTACCTAACCAAGCCTCTCCTTAGAAGAATTTGCCCTAAGATTCAAAAACTGATGAAGAATTGATTCCACTGGATGTATTCAGCTTTCTCTCTTGACTCCTCCATTCCCTCCTCCCAAAACTAGAACAGAATAAATGACATTTGGAAAGGTTGTGCCCTTCTTTAGAATGCAATATGTAAAGATAATTTTAAAATATTCAGTTTAGCTTAAAAGAAATAGTTTAACAAAATATCTAGGACAGTAAAGCCATTTTTAAAGTTACTAAGCAGTACATTTATATTAGCATAGTTTAAGGGGATCATGTTATTCACCAAAGCACCAGAGGGCAGGACAAGAAACAATGTTGGAAACTGATCAAAGAGAGAAGCAACCTGGAATTAAGGAGAAACTTCCTAACAGTGAGGACAATTAACTGGTGGAACAGCTTGCCTTTGGAAATTGTGGGTGCTCCATCACTGAAGATTTTCAAGAGGCTGGACAGTCACTTGTCTGAGATAGTATAGGTCCTCCTGCTTGAGCAAGGGGCTGGACTAGAAGGCCTCCAAGGTCCCTTCCAGCTCTATTCTATTCTAAAGTATGCTATATATAACTCAAATCTCTGCAGAGAATTTTAACACATTTTAAATGGCTAAGAAAATAAATTTTCACCAAAGTTGTACAGCTAAGCTAAGCATGGGAAAGAGTTACAATGATTTCACTTACAACCTTATCTGGCTTCAGTAGAGTATGACAAAATGAAAGGAAGCGAACTATAATACAGTATTGCCACTTTACATGCAGTAGTATTTGGAGGTGTGTCTGTGTGGAGGCTGTGTGTGTGCGTGTGTGTGTGTGTGTGTGTGTGAGAGAGAGAGAGAGAGAGAGAGACAGACAGACAGACAGACAGACAGACACTACAGATAGATATGCACAGGAAGAGAGGGTGGGATATAACATGTTTCATGTTCTATTTCATAAAATAATTTTGCCACCTCTACTTATTCTTCAGCAGTCATTCCTCCATTGTGAGTATTTTAAAGTCTTTCCATTTTTGTGCATATTATAATCTCACCGTAATTATCATATATAAAATAAAACTACATTATTAATCCATTTGTTCTACTTTAGTCTGTGCCATGCCTAAACTCAATATCCAACATTCATCTAGATTCTGTTGAATCTGTTATTGCTGCAGTCTCTTTCATGTCCTTAAGAATCTTTCCATGTCCTTAAGACTCTTTGGTTTTCATAATGTCATATATTTGACAATGAATATATTTAAATAATACTTAAATAATGACTTTTTTCTTTTCTGACATGCAGCCAAACACATAAACAGATTAGCTTTTTCTGGAGGAATGGAGTCCCAAATTGGCTATATTTGCTTTGGGAAAATATGAAACAGATGTACTGTTACTCTTTTCATTACCAAATAATTGTTTCTGAAAAAAATATTAAGCTTTCAATCATCCCTTAAAATTATATATGCATATAAAAGAAAAATAATTCTTAAGGACAGTGATGAAGGAAGGACAGAAGGTTACCTCATTTAGAATATCTAGTTACATCTTGATATGCTATGATTTTCCCTTTGCTTGTAATAGACCCTGAAAAGTTTCAAATGTTTATCAATTATGCATATTGAATTCTATCATCTATAAAATGGAATTTTAGCAATAATGGGAATAATGAAATTAATTATTGTTATTGGCACACTGGGTGCCATATCAAAAGGTCTTGGACAACACTTAAAAAAATCTATGCACTGACAGAATTTCCACCTGTCAATTGCAAAACACCACAGTGCTTGGATCTGCATATATACTATGCTGTACATTATGACACCCTAGGTTCTTAAGAAAAACTTGATGCAAATGAAGGTCAACACCAGCTGAAGAACTGGCAGCTGTGAATTCACATTGTCTTGTGTATAGTAATATAGGACTCATAAGCCTGAATACTTGTTTTCTTATATTTCAATGTCATAAAAGAAAAATCACTTCCATCATTACAACTAAACTGGGCATTTTACCATCTCTGTGATGAAGAGTGTCTTTAACTCTAGAAGGGATAAATAAAAATGCAGTTCAGACTTCCTACTACATTCATAATAAAATCAGCACACCACTTTTTTTTACAAACAAAGCAATTAGTACACCTGTTGTATTCAGACAAGGAATCCTCTTTTGATTTACAAGAGGTAGTCAAAAGCTGAAATGAGCTACAGAGAAAATACTAAAGTCAGAGATATAGATCTAATTCATATCATTTTTGAGTTGTAATAGGAACACAACACTATAATGAGATACAGATACTCAACAACAATTTGACCAGCTGTTGAGAATTGGCCTCTCTCAGCTTCAGTCCCCTAACTCTTCATGGGAACAAAATAATACTAATACAAATAATTATATTATTTATTTATTTGTCTGTATGCAAAATATTGAGAGAAGATGCTAAAGTATGATCCTGTTTCAGTATCAGACCATCATAGGCTACTCACCTAAATAAAGGAACAGGCTACATAAACTCCTATTTCCAAGCACTATGGGTTAAGTAGTATGGTCTACAAATATTTCTACTTATTTTCATATGAACAAAAGCAGTCTAGATGACTAGAAGTAGTGCACATTTCAGATGGAGGGTTTGCTTCAATGAAGGCTTGAGCAGAATACCCCTTGAAACTGCTTTAGAAAGCAACCTTGACCCCTCACTTCTATGGATAGAGTGAAGCAGCCAGGTTGCTCTGCTTTGCCTCTCTGGACTCCTACCTCTGAAGCTTTCTCCAGCACCAATACCCAGATAATGTTTCTGCTATAAACTCCCCATATGCAGGAATTACATTCATCTCTTCTAGTCAAATGTTGGAAGCAACAGAAGAAACTTCTACTAGAACAAGTAAAAAAAAACAACAATGTTAGTTTGGACAAAAAAAATTGGATATTCTATATATTCTCTTAGGGGGAGCCTGGAACCCCCACAGAGCACATGCCCAGGTGGCGGATTGGGGGACCCTACCCATTATGGCTTTTATACTGTAATGGCAGGTTGGAGGGAATCAAATACCTCCTGTGGACCAACAGGCCTGATGAGTGGCAGTTGGCTCCCCAGTATCGACTGAAGGCGGAGACCATATTGGTTGGAACAGATTCAGAAGAAAGCACACGGTGTGGTGGCAGCCACTTGAACAGCATGTGCACAGCAGTGTAGAAAGCAAAGGGAAGACTACTACACTATATATTTCCCAGGAAAATCATGTTAATGGCAGCAAAACCTAACAATAGCCCCGAGTACGGACGCCCATTAAATGGGGCAGGGGTGCTAAGAATATCCCGGTCCACTAGAAGTATGATAAATCCAAAACTATGAATTGGTACGTGGAATATGAGAAGCCTATAGAAAACTGGGAAAACACACAACACTATCCAAGAAATGTCCAAATACAATATCTCTATATTGGGAGTGAGTGAAATGCACTGGCCTGAAAATGGAATGTGGAGAATAGGAAATTATACTATCTACTACTCTGGTAAGAATAGCAAACACCATCGAAATGGAGTAGCTATAATTGTAAACAATCTTGTAAATAAATGCATCAAGTCCTTTATTCCGGTATCTGATAGAGTGATAATGATCCATATTTACTCCAGTAAATATGAATGTTATACAAATTTACGCTCCCACAGCTGACAGCGATGAGCAGGATTTAGAGAGGTTCTATGAAGATATAAGCAATGTACTGAAAACCCTAAAAAGTAATGATATCACAATACTCATGGGGGACTTCAATGCAAAAGTGGGAGAAGGAAGTGATGCTTCTGTAGTTGGAAACTTTAGCTTAGGAACCAGAAATGGTAGAGATGACAGATTTGTAGACTTCTGCAAGGAACATAGGTAATATGTGATGAATACTTTTTTCAAGTTGCCAAAAAGATGCAAAATAATGTAGTAAGGAACCAAATTGACTATTTTACAATAAACAAAAGATTTAGAAACTCAGTAAAATCAGTAAAGGTATACCCAGGAGCAGATGTACCATCCAATCATAATCTACTACTTGCTGAAGTCCAGCTGAAACTAAAAAAGATGAGAAACCCGAATTCTGCTAAACCAAGAATCGACAGAGACTTCATGATTAAACATGGAGGTAAGATTAAATAAGAATTAGAAAATCATTTAAGGGAAACCAACAACCTGAATGATGATGTAGAAGTGAACTGGAATAAATTTTAAAATGCAATAATAGAGGTAACAAATTCAAAACAGAGAGAGGGGTACCACAAGAAACAACAGTGGGTGACGGAGGAA